GGGGGGGGGGGGGGGGGGGGCGAAGTTTACCTGTTTGGTGTTGCTTGCGATAGCGGCCATTACCTGCTTGTATTTGAACTCAAATCTTGTATAATACCAAAGTGTTTGGAAGGTATTTCATCTTCATGGGTGCTGACCTACCATTTGGATGCTTTGGGCAAATGAGCTTTTGGAGTGCTGCAAATGTGATTCAGTCTCGAATTCAGTTGGAATGTGCGCCCGACGACAAGTTACCCCCCCCCCCCCAAAAAAAAAAAAACAAAAAAAAACGGTCCTGTCCGGTCCGGGTCCGTCCGGTCCGGGGGGAGGGTGCCGCACACGGCAAAGCGGACCGCAAGTATGGTTTATATGTTTTCAATTGTTTTGTTCAGCGTGACTGTCTTCGCCTGGCCACAGCAAGCCCTGCTTGTGCTTCCCAGTCAGATACAGTCATAATGAGGGGTGCTTTCAGCAGAATACAGTAGTCATATGGTGGAGTAGTGAGGGGATAATAAGTTAATAACAATATGTGATGAACTTCAGTGTCCGCTAACTTTGAAATATATTAAAATGTCAAGAATAGTTAAATTGCTACATTAACATATCAGTACAAGCTACTGTGGTGCCTTTTTTTTTTTTTTTTTGTCTTTCCACTTACAATTCAATCAATCATTCACAACAGATATGCACTCAACCTTCAGCCTAAAGCTGGCAAGAACTTAGTGGAAAAAGTTAAAAAAACGTAGAGAATGGGTTAGAGTTGTTGATACTCCTTATCGAGTTAAACCACTAGTACCTCTGCCAGTGTTGGGAGATTACAATGTAATGGTCTGTCCCCGAAGAAATCAGTGGTGGGACCCAGGGTCGGTGAGTCCGATGAATCTTAGTTTTCTTTTGCCCACACGTGAAAGGAAAAGGGGAAAAAAAAAAAAAGCTTCTGTACTGCAATGATGTCGGGCAGGGTAGTCCTGGAGGACGTGCTCACAGTCTTCCTCTACAGAATGCATCCTACAGCAAAGACGGTCACATTCGGAAACTTGTTGTTTTCTTTTTTTTATTTCTCGTTTGTTTGTTATGAGTTCCCTGCATACTTGCGGCGCATCGATGCGCTGCGCGATGCGGTGTGGTGCGCAGTGCGCCGTGCGCCCGTCGGGGATGCGCGCATTGATGCGCGATGCACGCGCATCGATGCGCAGTGCGCAATGCGCGATGCGCTGCGCACTTGGATGCGCAGTGCGCCAGTGCGCCGGCGCGTGGGCGTGCCGCTCGCATTTGCGCGCATGGTGCGCTCGGGCATGGAGGGAGGAGGAGATGGGTGACGAGGGAGGGAATGGAGGAGCGAGGAGGAGATCAATAGCAACGGAGGAGGGGGAAGGGAGAAGGGCGGAGGGAGGACGACACCGATGATGAAGGGAAGGGGAGGACAACGACGAAGGGAGGAGGAGATCGATGACGAGGGAGGAGGAGATCGATAGCGAGGGAGGAGGGGGAAGGGAGAAGTGTGGAGGGAGGGCGACGCCGATGATGGAGGAGGGAGGGGGAGCAGTGGTGCACTATTAAAAATTTCATATATGAAAAAAAAAAAAAAAAGGACGACATGATGAAGGAGGGAGGGGGACGACAGCGATGGAGGGAGGAGGAGATCGAT